CCTCAGCATATGTTTGAGCAATCACAGGGCTCACCCTGTTTCTCTTTTCTTTAAAATGATAATTCTGTGCTGCTTGTTATCCAGTGTCATTTTTAATATTTTCTTCTGCTTTTTAAGTTGTTTATGCCAGGTTGTTAAATGCTATCTAAATATTTCCTTCATAGCCTGATAAAGAACTCCTGGTATATATAAGTCATTTTTGCTTTTTACTTTTGCAAAATTATTCTGTTGTTTCAGGTATTTGTGTATTTATTGTCTCTCTCTTCCCTTTAATGAATCGGTGTTTCATTTTTAATAAATTGGATTTTTTCCCATAGTGTTTACTCTTGTGTTAATTCTATTCAATGTATTTTTCATTTCCAGGGATTCTTTTTGAGCCTTTTTTTTAAATCTCATGTTCATATTTTCTCTAACACTATTGAACGTATTTGAGTGGATTTACAGTAGCTTTTGAAGCATTCTCTTCTTTTAATTCTATCTTCTTTGTTATTCCTGTGTCATGATTGATTTTTCTTCTTGTTATGGATCATGTTTTCTTTGGCCTCTATGCTTGTTAATTTTTTAATGCATTTTGAATATTGTATGTTTTTACTCTGTTGACTGCTGGGAACTTTGCTGTATTCCTTTAAAGAATGACTTTGTACTAACATGGGGTTAAACTTCAAGTGTAAATATTTTGGGAGATTGCTTCTGAGGTCTGTTATAGTGGATCCAGAGCAACTTTTAGTTTATGGCTAATGTAATGCAGTATTTCGTTCCTTTATATCCAATATTACATTTCCTTTTCAGGACTCTACCTAATGCCTCCTGTAGTATGAGATCTATCTTCTGTGGCTGCTGGGAGCTCAGATTGTTCCCAGCCCTGTTTGAGATCCAGGAGTTTTTCAGTCTACTAGTTTCTGGTGGTTCTTTTCATGGCTTTAAGTAGTTTTCTCTTATGCACATGCAAATCAGTACTCAGCAAAAACTTGGAACATTCCTGCCGATCTCTTGAGCATACACTCTGTAGAAACCACATATCTGGTATTATTTCCTATGAGTTCTAGTTTGTAGGACTGTTCTTTTCAAATGCTGATCTTTGTTTTCTCAACCTGGTAAGATAACCAGAATCTGTTTGCAGTCAAATCCCCCTTTTTGCTCAGTGGTGAGAAATTTCTCCTCAGCATATGTTTGAGCAATCACAGGGCTCACCCTGTTTCTCTTTTCTTTAAAATGATAATTCTGTGCTGCTTGTTATCCAGTGTCATTTTTAATATTTTCTTCTGCTTTTTAAGTTGTTTATGCCAGGTTGTTAAATGCTATCTAAATATTTCCTTCATAGCCTGATAAAGAACTCCTGGTATATATAAGTCATTTTTGCTTTTTACTTTTGCAAAATTATTCTGTTGTTTCAGGTATTTGTGTATTTATTGTCTCTCTCTTCCCTTTAATGAATCGGTGTTTCATTTTTAATAAATTGGGAATGTGGTAGGGCATATTACAGAACTAAAAACAAAATTCATGCATATGCAAATAACATATCAATCTTAAATACTTTTTCTGAAATGACTGATATTTTGTTACTTTAAATGTTTATTGAGACAAAATGAAGCCTTGTACTATGTGCACTTTTCCAAGTGCAAAAATAATAAGAATAAAATGAGAATGTAATCATAATTAATTTTACATTTCAAGTTTATCACCTATATCTGAACAAAATTGTTTTCTTAATTTTTCATCTGAAACTACCATATCCTTCTTTCTTATTTGAACTGCTGGTGACTAAACTTTAAGAGATTCTGCAGGAGTATTTAGTAACTCACTTTGATGTCAGACTTGTGTCATAGCTCTTACACTTTAGTTTTTTAAAATATTTAATGAGTAGTTGAGTGCAGTAGTGTATTTCATGATGAACTTTCCGTTGCTAGTAGGGTGATATTTTTTTTCCATTTAAATTTTAGTTTGAGAAAATTGTAAATTCACATACACTTGTAAGAAGTAACAGAGTGATCCTGTATATTGTTTCTGCCATTTTCCTTGGTGGTAAACATCTTGCAAAAATATAGTACAGAATCACAACCTGGGTATTAACATTGATACAATCCACTGATGTTGTTCAGATTTCTCCAGTTTCATTAGAACTCATTTGCATGTGAGTGTATGTAGCGTGTGTAAATGTGTGTGTGTATTTAGTTCTGGGCAGTTTTATTGCATGTTGTCTCATGTATCTACCACTGTAGTGTCTGTCAACAACTTAGAGATTGCTTTGGGTATTAAAATATACATAAGTGACTTGTCTGTCTACTAGTATCAACATTTTACCACATCAAGTGAAACATGGAAACTTTGCTTTGGTTTACATCCCTCACTTTCCCCACTTCTAAATATCATTGTCGTGAGTGTCAGATGATGTTATAGTTTTTGTTTCCTTCATCATATATTATTTGTAAGCCTGAAAGAGGAGGAGAGTTTATTGTGTGTACTCACATGTCTGCTTTATTTGTTGTTCTTTCCTGATGTTCCAATATTCTTTTATCATTTCATTTGTCTGAAGAATTTTCTTAAGCCATCCTTTAAGGAGAGGGCCACAGATTTCAAAGTCTTTTAGTTTAGTTTAGCTTTTGTTTTTTAAACAAAAAAAAATTTTTGGCTGTGCCACATGGCATGTGTGATCTTAGTTCCCTGACCAGGAATTCAGCCCACACCACCTGCAATGGAAACACTGAAGTGCTGAGTCTTAACTACTCAGATGCCAGGGAAGTCTGTATATTTATGTCTTATACACAATGTGGATGTTTTCAGCCACCATTTTTAAAAATAGCTCTTTCAGGTCTGTTCTCTTTTTTCTCTTCTTGTGGGATTCCAGTGGTACAAATGTCGGACCAATTGTTCTTGTCCCAAAGGTTTCTTAGACTGTTTTTTTCTTTCTTTTTTTTTTTTAGTTTATTTTCCCTGGTGTTCAGATTGGGTAAAGTTTACTGCTGTATCCTCAAGTCTACTGATTCTGTCCTCTGTCGTCTCTACTGCTGAGTCTGTCCAGTTAACTCCTATTTGTTCCTGTATTTTCCTTTCTTCCTTCCTTCCCTCCTCACTCCTTCCCTCCCTCTCTTCCTTCTTTCCTTCCTCACCTTTTTTTTTTCTTTTTGCTGAGATTTGTTGTTTCAAGAGAACTTGTTAGTTGCTTGTTGTAAGAGTTAGTGTCGCTTGACTGATCTGGTTGCCAACATGACAAGTTTTTTTTTTTTTTTTTTTTTTTTAGTATCTTGGACATTTTGGCTTTTATATTGGGAGTCTTTGAGTCTTACTTAAATATTCTATTTTAGCAGGTTAGTCACTCTGTTTAGGTTTAGCATTAAGACCTTGTGGTGGGATCTCCTTTCCAATCTCAGACCTTTAGGGAAAGTGGAACTCTTCCCCTGACCACTTGTAAGCAGTGTTTGGTGAGTCCTTCTTGCTGGTGCTTCTAGGGTTTTCTGGGGCTATCCATGGGGGTTCCTCTTCAATTTGCAGGAGGAATAAGCCTACCTGAGTTGCTTTTTATTGCTGGGTTATGAGTTGAGAAATGCTGGGCTGACTAGCCTTCTTTTGTTGGGATGGAGGTAATGAGGTATCTATCCGATAGTCTTGGAGGCCCTAAGAATCAGCGTTCCTCCTTACACCTTTCATATTTCTCCTGTGGTTGTCTTTGGGACTGTTTACTGGTTAGTGGGAAGGAGAGGGAGAAATTAGTCTACACCAACTTTTAAACATTTGGTGTGTTAATTTTTTTAACTCTAAATTTCCTTAGTTGTAAAGAAAGGATAGCAATAGTAAACTTTAAAAGGTTTCATATTATCAAATGAGCTAGTGAGATACTCCCTGAGACATAATGTATACTCTAGATAATGATGCTATAGCTGATTGCCAGGTTGCTTATTGCATCCTTGTTTTTAAGAACAAATTGAAACTTGAATGAATCACAATGTAGAATTGTTTAAGTTATCATCAGTACAATAGAATGTAGCTAATAAAAGTGAAAGCAATAAATGAGATGTGAAAAGATGCCCAGATGTTTTGTTAAGTGAAATATAGTTGTAAAATGGCATTGTTTTTTGGTACAAATATTTATAGATATGTATGTACATGTAAGTCATATAAATTTTTCCTGTCTGTTGTAATACAATATTCAGAACTGTAATTTCAAAATAACCTGAACATAAACATTTGTGAAAAGTACCTCTAGATATTGGGGTAGGGGAGAAGGTAACATTAACTGTTGCATTATATACCTCTTTATTGCCACAGTATTTTTTAGTAAGAAGTAGTTTGATCTTTTTTTTATTAAAAGAGAATGTATAGAAGCATGAAAACTTGCAGTTTGGCTGTATATAAGCTTTAATAAGTGGTTGAAGAATGTTAAAGGAATGCCCGTTAGTTACAAGAATACTCTGAAATTTCTTTAAATATGTTTAGTTTTCTCTGAGTAAAATTGACTTTAACAAATCCTTTCTGATACTTCCTTTATGACTACTTTTATGATTGATGAAGTATCATATTCTTTACTACCTTAAAATTGTGTGAATGTAAAGAATTTTTAAGCATCATCTTTATTTTCTGTTACTTGCTTTGAGTATTTCAATGAGCTGTCTAGGATGCCAAAGTTTAGGTGACAAAGTTAGAAGGAAGATGCAAGTGTGATATGATTGGATACTTAAAGACTAATAACAGATTTCTGTATGGTTGCTCTTTATAAATTCCTTTAAGGCCAAAAGATATGTATTTTTTCATTGGCATATTCTCAAAAGCATGCCTTGCATATGATTAGAACTTGTGTCAGTGAATTTGCTATGGAAACGAGAATCCCTTCTAGATGTATCAAGTAGAATGGGACTTAAAATAGGGAGTTAATTACAGTAGTACTAGAGACACCAAAATGAGGGAATTAGTCAGAAATCTGGAGCTGCTGCATACCCAGGCTGGAACTTGGGACCACGTTTGTAATTGAGCTGCTTACAGTAGACGCTGCTTCTGCCTCTGGGCAGGTGCCGTGCCTGCTTCTCTTGCTCTAAACCCACCGCTGCCAGTGGCCAGTAGCCCCTACCTGCTCCTGCTGCTCGAGAAGAAAGAAAGTAGAGTGTCTGTCTTCCGTTTGCCTTCTGTCCACTCCCAAGTACTTTCATTACTTGAAACTGATGGTAACACAGCTGTCAAATGAGTCTTGGGAATTTAATTTTTAGGTTTTTATCAGTAATACAAAGGACTCTTAGACGGGATAGTGAGACTCATAACCAAGAGAGAAAAGCATGTAGCTCAGTGCTAAAAATTGTGAAGACAAGAGTCTTATCTTTTTAGTCTTTATAATGTTGGTGACTAACTCAGCCTGTAACGTAACAATCTCTCATGAACTTTTATTAAATCTTTCTTTTTTCAGGGTTATTTACAGATACAGAAATATGTGTGAGAATAAGGTTTAGTTTTTTCTTGCACATACAAAAAATTTGACATTTTCAATATTTCAAAGTTTAATTAAAATCTACAAAGAGACCAGTTTTACTCACCTTCGGTCTTTAGCACCCAACATAGTAACTAGCACGTATTTAATACTTAAAAAAAAATTAAACTATTATTAGATATGCTTTACTCATAAAATGTGGTATTAGAATGAACTAGCTGGTAGTTTGGTGGTATATTAGTTTTTAAAAAATACTATTTAAGTTCACATTTTATCTTCTTTCTCTTATAGCATCAAACACTTGGCTTGTTCCGGAAACTAAAGGAGCTATTGTTCAAGGGGGATATGGCCATACCAGTGTGTATGATGAAATAACAAAGTCCATTTATGTTCATGGAGGCTATAAAGCATTACCAGGCAACAAATATGGATTGGTAGATGACCTTTACAAGTATGAAGTTAACCCAAAGACTTGGTGAGTAGATTGGGTTGAAGTATGATGGGAAAATCGGGCACTGTTCTATTTTATATTTGTATAATAGTGGTGTTTATTAAATATTTTCAAGGAGGTATTTTTGACTTTTTTCCATCTTTTTTCAGCTAATGATATTCTATTATGTAGCAAAGGCGCTACATAATACATTTTCTGTGTATCCATCTTTACAGTAAATGATTGACTTACAGTATTTTCCAGTCCTGTAGATAGTCTTGTTCTAGTATAAATCACTCATAAGTGCTGATACTGTGTGCAGTTCAGAAGAGCAGTTTTCTTACCAATATATCTTTGAGTTTTGACATTATCTGTACTGAGATTTGTTCATCTTTACAGTCATATGTTATAGTCAGTTGTAAATTTTAAAAGCATTTCTTCAGTTTCATCGTCTAATTTCCTGTGAAATACAAAGCTGTGACATTAGGTAAATTTTCTTTTATTGTTGTTATAAATAATACCTCAATGTACATCTTGAACCAGTCATTTTACATAAGCAAGAGCTTCTCTAGGGTGTATATCTAAAAGTGAAATTGTTGTATCTGAGGATGTTCACATCCTCATCTTTAGGACACATTTAGCAAGCCTAATTGCTTTTCAAGTCACTGTGGTAATGTACCACTTCCTCCAGCAGGGTATCAGTGTTCTTGTTTCTTCATAGTCCCACCAATGCTTGATAATTATGAGAATATTTTCCTTTCGCCAGTGCAATGAATGTGAATGGTATTCTACTGATATTTTAATGTGCATATCCTGATTGATATAGTGAATAAGCATATTTTTATGTGTTCATTTGCACTTGTGTTTTCTGTTNATATTTTCCTTTCGCCAGTGCAATGAATGTGAATGGTATTCTACTGATATTTTAATGTGCATATCCTGATTGATATAGTGAATAAGCATATTTTTATGTGTTCATTTGCACTTGTGTTTTCTGTTTAGTGAATTGCTTATTCACAGCCATAATTTTTTCTTTATGTTTAAAATATTAATTTTTCATTTATTGATTTTTCTATGTATATGAGTTGTACTAACCAATATGCTATGTTTTATATAAAGTTTTTATTATATTTGGAAAAATTTCGACAGTTATTTCTTTTTAAAAGTTTTTGTTGAAGTATAATTGATTTACAGTGGCATGTTAGTTTTAAGTGTACAGCAAAGTGAAGCATATATTCACTCTTTTTTTAGATCCTTTTTGTTGTACTCATTTTCTTTTCTCAGATCTGAAAAGTGACCAGTTTTTTGTTCTGAGATACTTAACATTCTTTTAAACTTAAATGAAATTAACTATATTTTTAAATGAAATACAATTTTCCACTGAATTGTGATTTGTCCTGTCCCCTTCACTTTCACACATATAATTTTTACTTTACTTGAAAAAAAAGAAAGAATTAAAGAAAATGAAGACTTTTCCTTTGAGTAGCTTTGCTAATTTAAATTTTTTGTTTTTAGTTTAAATAAAATGCAGTATTATATTTTAGTAGATAGGCTACTTTGCTGAACTTTTAGAAAATGTGTATTTGGAGAAATTATTTTTCAGTGGTGAAGTTGATTATTCTGGACTATAATTTTCACTTAGAAAATTTAGAAATTACCTCTTTTTAAGGCATGAGAGGACTGTAAAGGCAGTAAGAATATATTGGTCAAGATTTAGGAGAGGTAAATGACAAAGGAAGTATGACTGGCATTCTGTACAACTGTTGCTCTTGAGACAGTTGTGAATCCTAAAAACTTCCTGAGAAACTGAGCAGAACTTTTGTCAATCAATATGGAGGACCAAATTGTATTTCTAGGTGGGCCAAGGAAGAGAGATCTTATTACATACTTACTGATGTACTCTGGTCCCTGAGGTTCTAAACCTAAGAGTGAGGATAAGTTTATCTTTGAAACATCATGATCTTTGATTGGATTATGGTGATCTGCCCATGGCCTAAATTGGTGACAGCAAAAGTAAATCCTCTCTTGAGTAAAATAGTATCATACAGAGGCTCAAATTAGTTCATTTACAATATTATGTTGCAGAACAAAAAATAGTAAGTCTTAGAAAAAGAAAAGCCATGAAAAAAACCCAGCCATTTGAAATATACCAATAGGATAATGGTGGTTTCATAAAGAAACTATAAAATGATTAGGATTTTATGATCGAGGAAGTAAAGGTAGGAAAGTGTTGACAGACAACTGGAAACTTATACTAACTTGATTACTAAATAATCAAGTAGAAATTATAGAACTGGAAAATTGATTATTTACAAATTCTTTGGATATGTTTTACAGCAGGTTAGACATAGCTGAGGGGGAGGTTAGTGAAACAGAAGATGGGTCATATTGAAATGAAGAAAGACAAAGAATGAAAAATAAAAGAGGGAAAGAAATAGGAGGGACATGTGGAAATATTGTAACATGCATGTGATTGAAGCCCATGAGAGGATTGAGAAAATAATGTAGAGCACTATTTGAAGTCTCAAATGCCTGAGAATTTTCAAGTGACAGAAGATGTCCACCTACAAGTTGAGGAAATTCCATGAGTGTGAAGGGGTGAGTACAAAGAAACATACACTTAGAAATATCATTGTAAAACTGATGAAAACCCAAATAGAGTGAGGAAAGCCACCAGCGGGGGAAGAGACATATTCTCTTTAAAGACTGACAACTGATATTTTTTTAACTGGAAAAATGGAATTTAGAAGACCATGGTGTCTTCAAATGGCTGAAGGAAGATAATCATCTGTCCAAAATTACCCAGTGAAAAACCCTTAAAAAGCCAAAACAAAGAATAGACTTTTCAGAAAAGCAAGAATTGAATTTGACAATAGCAGATCTGCAATACAGAAAGTACTGAATAAATAAAATTCTATTGAAGTAGAAGAAAAATAATCCTGGATGCTGGAGGGACTAGAGAAATGGGAAGGGTAAATCTAAGTGATTATTTATTGTGAAATAGTATAATGGTAATTATATAAAAGCCCTCTATGTCCAACAAGTGAATAGAAGGAAAAATGAGAAGACCACTTAATGCATTTGAAAGAAAACAAGAAAGGAATGGAAAGGGAGCAAAGTAAAATTGGGACAAATATAAAGGAAGATGGTTTCATGGTAATTGCTTCCCTGGTGGCTCAGAGACTTGGGTTCGATCCCTGGGTCAGGAAGATCCCCTGGAGAAGGAAATGGCAACCCACTCTAGTACTCTTGCCTGGAAAATTCCAAGGACAGAGGAGCCTGGTGGGCTACAGTCCATGGGGTTGCAGAGAGTCGTACACGACTGAGCTACTTCAAAGCTTTCACTTTCATAATGGTAATAGAGGCTTAAATATATCAAAATTTAAATGCTTATTAATAGCAGCACATAGGAAGAAGGGTAAATGTTGTTCAGTGTTTCTAAGGTCTTCGTATTATGTGGGAATTAATTAGAAAACTAATTTAAAGTGGACATAAATAGTTAAGAATTTATATTGTAATCATTAGGTAACAAAAAAACACTCTATGTTCAACAAGTGAATAGAGAGAAAAATAAGAAGACTACTTAATGCACTTGGAAGAAAACAAGAAAGGAATGGAAAGGGAACAAAGTAAAATTGGGACAAATAAAAAGGAAAATGGTTTAATTAACTCCAAATATGTCATAATTGCACTAAAAGTGAGGAAGTAAAGATTCCAGTTACACTAAATGTAAGAGACTAAATATTCCAATCAAAAGCTAAAGATTTTTAGACTGGGTATAAAAATTAAAGCCTAGCCATATGCTTCTTAGAAAATATACACAAAGTATAAAGTTATTTAGAGCAATTGAAAGTAAAGGGTTGAAGAAAGGTACATATTATGCAATCATGCAACAAAAGAATGTTGGTATAATTATACTACTATCAGACAAATAAGAATTTAAGTCAGGCATATGCCTGAAAAATATAATAGTTCTGAATTTGAATGTACCTTATAACTCTATGTTAAATAAAGCAAAACTGACAGAAAATGGGACAAATCAGTATGATGTTTTAAACCCAGTTATTTTGGTAACTGATAGTACTTGAAGACTAAAACCCAGTAAAGAAAGAAAAGATTTGAAAAGCTCAATTTATAATTTTGGGGTTTTTTGGTATATGAGCACGTATTATCTTATGACTGCAGAATATATGTTGTTCTTAAGTACGTAGGGAACATTTTTCTAAAATTTACCATATACTGGGTTTTAATGCAAGTCTAAAGAAATTTAAAAAAAAAGTAACTAGAAAAAAACTCCAGAATGTCTGTAATTAATAAACTCCTTAAAATTGGTTAACTAAATTATGCAGAAAATTAGAAAACATTTGTGCTGAATAATAGCACAAGATTGTGATGCTGCCAATGAAGACATTTATAACTTTAAATGCATTTTTTAGAAAATATTTTAAAAAGCCTGAAAATCAGTTGGTCTAAGCTTAACCTCAAGAAGTCAGAAAATAAGCAGCAGATTAATTTCAAAGGAAGAATAAAATGAATAAAGGTAGAGGAAAGACAATAGGAGATAGAGCACAAGTTAGTGTGAAATAGAAAACAAACATGTGATAGAGATATAGCCACCAAAAATCAGCAAAGGTGGGTGGTTGTGGAGATAGATCCCCACCCAGATTTACAAACAGAGATCACAGTTGGCTTTCTATATGTGTGGGTTCAACCAATCATGGATTGAAGTTATTAAAAAAAAGTTCAAAAAAGCAAACAGAGCTTGAATTTGTCACGCACCAGCAGCTACTTGCATAGCATTTACATTGTGTTTACAGCAGTTTACATAGTGTTTACACTGTATTAGGTGTTATAAGTAATCTAGAAATGACTTAGATTATACAGGAGGATGTGTATAGGTTATATGCCAGTTTATGTAAGGGTCTTGAGCATCTGTGGGTTTTAGTATTGGCGAGGCTTCTGGAACCAATTTCCCACAGATACTGAGGGATGGCTGTGTTCTCAAATAACCAATTTTCAGAATGAAAATGGACATTATGAGCATT